CAAGGTGGAATTCACAAATAGAAAATACACCTAGCACCTTGGTGGAGTACCAAAACAGAAGACAATAAATAATTTGACAGAGAATAAAAAGAATAGCTTTATCCAGAGTCAGTGTATTTTAGCAAAATGTATTAGCTTTAAAATCTGAATTTCATTAGTCTTTCGTTGCATTAATCAAGAGGAAAAGCAGCAAACATTTAACGCTTTTTTCATCTTGGATCCTCAATACCAATTTCTAGGTCACTTTTCATTCATGACTGTTGATACTTTCATGAGTTTTATAACCAGCACTGGCTTGAAATAAAACCATGCATTAAAAAGCCCTCTCCAAAAAGGCATTTCATAAAAAAGGATATCAAAAATAGAAAGAAAACATATATATAACATAAATATATATTTAAATTGTACTATTCATGTTCATATTGGGGAGATAACTGAGCACACTGCTCCAAATCTTAAATAATATATTGGGTGCATGTTAGTGGTTAGAAGATACAATAAAAGCATTTGCAGATAGAGAGTCTCCCTATTTATTAAGGGCACAAAATAAACACTTTTCTGCTAGAGGTCATCTACAGTATATCTGTGAGAGCCAGTGTATTATTTCACAATTCGTATAAAACATTTATTTTAGATCCAATGTTTAATACACCAGGTACCGCCTGAATTGTTTTAATTGAACTTAACTAATATGATATTTTTGTATGTATTTAAAAAGGTGCAAAAGGTTATTAAATATATGTTAAGAAACTACAAATAATTATATATTATTTTTTACTTTGTAATGATTCAGCTTCCCCTGTAAGCTCTGAAATACATTTGGTGTGAGTTGGGGACACTTTCACCGGGGGATTGAAGGCTTGTGGAGCTATCAGAGAAGGTCACTGAAGACACTTTCACTGTTTCTGCTCCATTTGCTGCAGAAGGAGCGACGTGCCAAAAACAAGGCAGTCTCAGACCTGGCAATTTTGGATGCATTGATATTGCACATCACACACACACAATCAGCTTTGAAGTGGGCCCATTGCTTAGCAACTGTCACTCCATTTAGATGAATGTAGACAGGTAGCGCTGGACAGACCCTGCTCTTCAACCAGCAAAGCTCCATCTAGATTTAGAACATAATGTAGCATGTGGATAAATTAAATCTAAGACTTCTTGAGCCAAATGCCTCCTAATGGATTCTAAGGGAACAAGAGAGAGGAGGAAAAGATCATTTGTAAAAGGCTCAGAGGACATAGTGAGCCTAATAGAAGTGTATCAGGTATAGTCCAGCAGCAAGTCCTCAAAAAAGGCTTTAGTTTTCGAGATACCCCTACCCGAGGTAGAATAATTACAACAATGATTTTTCTTATCTTTAGGGTCTCCCATTAATGAAATTGATTGTTGTCAAATTTTATTTTGGGGGAAAAAATGTTTTTTTGGTTGTTCTTTAGAACTACCCAAATCCCTGAAAAAGAGCCAAATTAGACCAGGCCGAATATGGGAAAGGTGACAAAAAAGCCCATAACTTGAAAATGACCAATCTTTTCCTCTTCAGATTTGCTGAGGTATGAACCAGGTGGCTGTCCTACATCACCAAATAGTCAGACAATTATTTAAATAAAGAAATACTGAATTATAGTCCTGTAAACTTAGCTTTAGTTTAGACGGAAATTGTACTTTTGGTGATAGGAACATCGGACTCCATCACTTTTCTCTCATTTATCAGAAAAACAGAAATCCCTAAAATATATACCATTACTGAATTGTCTAGGGTGCTATTGAACACTAATCAGTAGTTGTATGGAAATATCTGGTACAGTTCTATTGCAAATGAGATTTCTTTAGACATAGGCCTACCTCTTCTCTGATACAGTCAAATTCCGAATGGGGGATAAGTGGCATAATAACCTATAAGTTAAGAATGCTCACTCTGATGGTCATTATATTTGGAGAGGGAAATACCAGGTGGCTGAACTACATCACCAAATAGTCAGAATAAGAGTAACCCAATACAATAAAGTGTATTATCTCTAAATTGCAAGCCTCTAAAACATAGGTTTAAATAGTATAGGTTGTATTGAAACTGGAACCTTAATTCAAAGTACAGTATACAATTCATCAAATAATTC